TTTGCTTTGTAATTTTGATAGATGGATTCTGGGTGTTCCAAGGTTTCATGTTGTAAGTTTTTCATTTTCAGTGTGACTAGCAGCTAGCTATACCTCTAATTGGTATAGTAACTCCAGATCAGGTATGCATATCCACAATGAAACTTCCAATCATGTTTGGTTAGAGCTTTGTAAAACAGAGAAGATGCCAAATCAAGTCAATAAAGCAAAAAAGCTTCAAACTATTGTTGCTACAACCTACACCAGATGTCATCTTCAATAGCAGTCGCTGTCCCGAGAACAACAGCACAGGGCCAGGTTGAATATATTCATTTTTGTAATTTAGGTTTGAACAAGAATGACAAACCAGTTGGCACCACCCAATACAAGAACAACCAACCTCCAAATTAAATCCAAAAAAATTAATCTATAGTTTTACATAAGGTCCATCGCTGCTTTGTTATAGCTCATCGATTATTACCAAGTTTTGTATATGTATATTACAAAACTCCCTCATTTTTATACTCTTATGCCCAACCCCATTTGCCAGCCTCTTAACCAAGCACCACCAGTCAACCTTCACAATTACCTCTAATAAGTATAATAATCAGTACAAGAAATGCCGGCCAATGTTTGCTTTAAATAGGTGCTTGAAGTGCTAGCACATACAACTTGCTATTCCTAATTCTTCTTAACCAAAATCAAGATGGAGAACAAAAAGGGTGCAGCAGGAATGCAGGTTATATATCTTGTTGGTTTAGTTTTCATGTTTTGTTTATCACTTACAGTTGCAGACTATGATGAAATGGCGCTGGAATCAGTAGCTGCTGAGAAAAATGATGGCAACAATGACATGCAAACTTATATTGTTTGGGTGCAAAAGCCAACCTCTCAGAAATTTTCTGCAGAATCTCATGAAGATTTGGAGAGTTGGTATCAGTCATTTTTGCCTGAAACTGATGCAAACTCAAACCAGCTGATGAAACAACGGATGATTTATGCATACCACAATGTGGCAACAGGGTTTGCAGCAAGACTGACACCAGAGGAAGTAAAAACGATGGAAACGATAGAAGGGTTTGTGTCAGCTCGTCCAGAGAAGATTCTGCCGTTGCAGACTACTCATAGTCCCGACTTCTTGGGTTTGCACCAAGGATTCGGACTTTGGGAAGCAACAAACTATGGTGAAGGTGTGATAATTGGACTTTTGGATACTGGGATTACACCTGATCATCCCTCATTTAGTGATGAAGGAATGCCACCTCCTCCTGCTAAATGGAAAGGTAAGTGTGAGTTCAATGGGACCTTGTGCAATAACAAGCTTATCGGTGCAAGAAATTTCATGGGAGTAGGCAAAGGTCAACCCTCACCAGGTCCTCCATTTGACCTAGATGGCCATGGCACCCACACATCTAGCACTGCTGCTGGAAGGTTTGTGGAAGGCGCAAGCGTGTTTGGACAGGCCAATGGCACAGCGGCTGGCATGGCACCGAAAGCTCACTTGGCAGTTTACAAAGTCTGCACTGGCTTTGGTTGTGCTGAAGCTGACATTATGGCTGCTCTTGATGTTGCTGTTGATGATGGCGTGGATGTGCTCTCACTCTCACTTGGAGGCCCCTCAATTCCTTTCTATAAGGATGTGATTGCAATTGGTGCATTTGCAGCAATTCAAAAGGGAATTTTTTTCAGCTGTGCAGGTGGAAATTCTGGTCCTTTCAACCGTTCTTTATCAAACGAGGCCCCATGGATTCTGACAGTTGGAGCAAGCACTACTGATAGAATATTAAAATCAGAAGCGCAGATCGGGGATGATAAAAATAACCATTTTGATGGAAAATCTTTTTCCCAGCCTCAAGATTTCGATTCAAAAGTTACTTTACCTCTTGTTTATGCAGGCTCAGTTGGCAACCAGCCATCAGCTTTCTGCAAGGAATGGACTCTCGAAAACGTTGAAGGGAAAATAGTACTGTGTGAGACAGGTGGAGGAGTAACAAATATTGCCAAAGGGGAAGAAGTGAAACGAGCTGGTGGTGCTGCCATGATTCTCATGAACCAAGAAACTGACGGCTTTAGCACCTTAGCTGAATCTCATGCGCTACCCACGACACATGTGAGTTATGCTGCAGGGTTGCAAATTAAGTCTTATATAAGCTCAACCTCAAGTCCTACAGCCACAATCTTGTTCAACGGCACTGTCATTGGAGACGCACTTGCTCCCAGAGTTGCTTTCTTTTCATCAAGAGGACCAAACAAAGCAAGCCCCGGAATTTTGAAACCTGACATCATTGGACCCGGTGTTGACATCCTAGCAGCATGGCCTGTTTCTGTGGACAATGCCACGCAATCTAAGGCAACATTTAACATAATTTCCGGTACTTCAATGGCTTGTCCTCACCTAAGTGGAATTGCAGCCTTGGTCAAGAGCTCACACCCTGATTGGTCACCAGCTGCAATTAAATCTGCCATCATGACAACTGCTGATGTGCTAAACCTTGCAGGCTTGCCCATTGTTGATCAAGACCAAAATCCTGCGAACGTCTTTGCAATGGGTGCAGGCCATGTTAACCCTTCAAAAGCAAATGACCCGGGGCTCATCTACGACACACAAGCAGAGGATTACATTCCTTACTTGTGTGGTTTGAATTACACTGATAAAGAGATACAGATCATCACCCAACAAAAAGTGAACTGCTCTCAAGTCGGGGTCATATCAGAAGCACAGCTCAATTATCCTTCATTTTCTATTAAGATAGGGTCCAATGAGTCTCAGTCTCAGTATTATACAAGGACAGTGAGGAATGTTGGCCCGGCTAGTTCAACTTACAACTTGGATCTTCTTGTACCACATAAAATGGGCATGAGTGTGAATCCTGGGGTGCTTACATTCACTGAGGTCAACCAGGAGATTACATTCCATGTGGAGTTTATAGCACAAGATGGCGCTGGGAAGGATGGCGTAGCATTTGGTCAGGGATATTTGAAATGGGTTTCTGATAAGCATAATGTCACTAGCCCAATAGCTGTGGTCTTTGACTAAGTAAAATTAAAATTTGCCCCTGTAGAAGCTTATATATAGAAAGCTTAGGGGTAACGAACTTATGAATAAGCGAGGAATTTACTACAAATAATAATGCACGTACACTTTGTTGGTGGTGGGTTTATTTTGTGATTTCCTCTTCCTTTTTTTTTTCCTTTGTCTTTCTTTCCTTTCATTTCTAAACTTTTGTTCAAATCCAAATACAATTGTGTTGCTACACATTGTCCAAATTCTACACTTTCCTGCCCCACTTGGGTGCATTATATGAAGTGAAAATCAAACGAACAAAAAAAGGGTATGGGCAAAGGAGGGTTTACAAAGTTTCGAGCCCCTTCGGAGTTATATAGGCTTCAACACAGTGGTGTTTATCTCCATAAGACTACAAAGCAGTACAGGACCAGCTTGAATAATACTCCTTTTTTTGTGTGTGATAAATTATTGATTGTATAGTGTGGTGCCAACTGGTTTATCATTTGTTAAAACCTTTAAGACTGTACTCAAGAATAAGTTTCAATTATTGTCTATTGCTCGTGCGGTATTACTTTATTTTTATGTGTGACATTGTTGAATTGATATCATTAAGGTTTTAACAAGAATATAAACCACTTGCCATAATAATAATATGTTAGATTTCTAAAGAACAACAGCACAGGGCCAGGTTGAATATATTCATTTTTGTAATTTAGGTTTGAACAAGAATGACAAACCAGTTGGCACCACCCAATACAAGAACAACCAACCTCCAAATTAAATCCAAAAAAATTAATCTATAGTTTTACATAAGGTCCATCGCTGCTTTGTTATAGCTCATCGATTATTACCAAGTTTTGTATATGTATATTACAAAACTCCCTCATTTTTATACTCTTATGCCCAACCCCATTTGCCAGCCTCTTAACCAAGCACCACCAGTCAACCTTCACAATTACCTCTAATAAGTATAATAATCAGTACAAGAAATGCCGGCCAATGTTTGCTTTAAATAGGTGCTTGAAGTGCTAGCACATACAACTTGCTATTCCTAATTCTTCTTAACCAAAATCAAGATGGAGAACAAAAAGGGTGCAGCAGGAATGCAGGTTATATATCTTGTTGGTTTAGTTTTCATGTTTTGTTTATCACTTACAGTTGCAGACTATGATGAAATGGCGCTGGAATCAGTAGCTGCTGAGAAAAATGATGGCAACAATGACATGCAAACTTATATTGTTTGGGTGCAAAAGCCAACCTCTCAGAAATTTTCTGCAGAATCTCATGAAGATTTGGAGAGTTGGTATCAGTCATTTTTGCCTGAAACTGATGCAAACTCAAACCAGCTGACGAAACAACGGATGATTTATGCATACCACAATGTGGCAACAGGGTTTGCAGCAAGACTGACACCAGAGGAAGTAAAAACGATGGAAACGATAGAAGGGTTTGTGTCAGCTCGTCCAGAGAAGATTCTGCCGTTGCAGACTACTCATAGTCCCGACTTCTTGGGTTTGCACCAAGGATTCGGACTTTGGGAAGCAACAAACTATGGTGAAGGTGTGATAATTGGACTTTTGGATACTGGGATTACACCTGATCATCCCTCATTTAGTGATGAAGGAATGCCACCTCCTCCTGCTAAATGGAAAGGTAAGTGTGAGTTCAATGGGACCTTGTGCAATAACAAGCTTATCGGTGCAAGAAATTTCATGGGAGTAGGCAAAGGTCAACCCTCACCAGGTCCTCCATTTGACCTAGATGGCCATGGCACCCACACATCTAGCACTGCTGCTGGAAGGTTTGTGGAAGGCGCAAGCGTGTTTGGACAGGCCAATGGCACAGCGGCTGGCATGGCACCGAAAGCTCACTTGGCAGTTTACAAAGTCTGCACTGGCTTTGGTTGTGCTGAAGCTGACATTATGGCTGCTCTTGATGTTGCTGTTGATGATGGCGTGGATGTGCTCTCACTCTCACTTGGAGGCCCCTCAATTCCTTTCTATAAGGATGTGATTGCAATTGGTGCATTTGCAGCAATTCAAAAGGGAATTTTTTTCAGCTGTGCAGGTGGAAATTCTGGTCCTTTCAACCGTTCTTTATCAAACGAGGCCCCATGGATTCTGACAGTTGGAGCAAGCACTACTGATAGAATATTAAAATCAGAAGCGCAGATCGGGGATGATAAAAATAACCATTTTGATGGAAAATCTTTTTCCCAGCCTCAAGATTTCGATTCAAAAGTTACTTTACCTCTTGTTTATGCAGGCTCAGTTGGCAACCAGCCATCAGCTTTCTGCAAGGAATGGACTCTCGAAAACGTTGAAGGGAAAATAGTACTGTGTGAGACAGGTGGAGGAGTAACAAATATTGCCAAAGGGGAAGAAGTGAAACGAGCTGGTGGTGCTGCCATGATTCTCATGAACCAAGAAACTGACGGCTTTAGCACCTTAGCTGAATCTCATGCGCTACCCACGACACATGTGAGTTATGCTGCAGGGTTGCAAATTAAGTCTTATATAAGCTCAACCTCAAGTCCTACAGCCACAATCTTGTTCAACGGCACTGTCATTGGAGACGCACTTGCTCCCAGAGTTGCTTTCTTTTCATCAAGAGGACCAAACAAAGCAAGCCCCGGAATTTTGAAACCTGACATCATTGGACCCGGTGTTGACATCCTAGCAGCATGGCCTGTTTCTGTGGACAATGCCACGCAATCTAAGGCAACATTTAACATAATTTCCGGTACTTCAATGGCTTGTCCTCACCTAAGTGGAATTGCAGCCTTGGTCAAGAGCTCACACCCTGATTGGTCACCAGCTGCAATTAAATCTGCCATCATGACAACTGCTGATGTGCTAAACCTTGCAGGCTTGCCCATTGTTGATCAAGACCAAAATCCTGCGAACGTCTTTGCAATGGGTGCAGGCCATGTTAACCCTTCAAAAGCAAATGACCCGGGGCTCATCTACGACACACAAGCAGAGGATTACATTCCTTACTTGTGTGGTTTGAATTACACTGATAAAGAGATACAGATCATCACCCAACAAAAAGTGAACTGCTCTCAAGTCGGGGTCATATCAGAAGCACAGCTCAATTATCCTTCATTTTCTATTAAGATAGGGTCCAATGAGTCTCAGTCTCAGTATTATACAAGGACAGTGAGGAATGTTGGCCCGGCTAGTTCAACTTACAACTTGGATCTTCTTGTACCACATAAAATGGGCATGAGTGTGAATCCTGGGGTGCTTACATTCACTGAGGTCAACCAGGAGATTACATTCCATGTGGAGTTTATAGCACAAGATGGCGCTGGGAAGGATGGCGTAGCATTTGGTCAGGGATATTTGAAATGGGTTTCTGATAAGCATAATGTTACTAGCCCAATAGCTGTGGTCTTTGACTAAGTAAAATTAAAATTTGCCCCTGTAGAAGCTTATATATAGAAAGCTTATGACCTAGGTAACGAACTTATGAATAAGCGAGGAATTTACTACAAATAATAATGCACGTACACTTTGTTGGTGGTGGGTTTATTTTGTGATTTCCTCTTCCTTTTTTTTTTCCTTTGTCTTTCTTTCCTTTCATTTCTAAACTTTTGTTCAAATCCAAATACAATTGTGTTGCTACACATTGTCCAAATTCTACACTTTCCTGCCCCACTTGGGTGCATTATATGAAGTGAAAATCAAACGAACAAAAAAAGGGTATGGGCAAAGGAGGGTTTACAAAGTTTCGAGCCCCTTCGGAGTTATATAGGCTTCAACACAGTGGTGTTTATCTCCATAAGACTACAAAGCAGTACAGGACCAGCTTGAATAATATTCCTTTTTTTGTGTGTGATAAATTATTGATTGTATAGTGTGGTGCCAACTGGTTTATCATTTGTTAAAACCTTTAAGACTGTACTCAAGAATAAGTTTCAATTATTGTCTATTGCTCGTGCGGTATTACTTTATTTTTATGTGTGACATTGTTGAATTGATATCATTAAGGTTTTAACAAGAATATAAACCACTTGCCATAATAATAATATGTTAGATTTCTAAAGTTATATATAATGTAGATCTTTCACACAAATATGTAATACGTATAAAGACATGAAGACATACCTGGAGCCATCTTCCTTGAGTACACAGCCTCTGAACTCATCCAATTCGTAGCAGCAGCAATCCTAGCAAGAACAGGAACGACTCAAGACTTCTGCTCTCTCTCAGAATCTGTTTTAGCTCTCTCTTTATGATGAGAATAGGTTTAGATAACGTGTCTGATGAGAGCAAGGCCTTAAGCTTATATAGGGCTAGGTCAAGTCGTCTCTACTCATCACCGAGGGCCGACTTGACTAATCTTCCAAGCCCACTTAATCAGTTCACGCAAAAGGAAACAAATTAGGACTCCTTAATAGGCCTCAAAACCCTTCCTTATTCCACAAGGTTTTGGGTCTCAAGGTACGACTTAATTTAAACTCTTACCAAACCTGATATAACTTAGTATCTAGTGCACCGATCCAAATAGGAAAATATAACATTCTCCCACTGGATCAAGCACTAGAGCACTAAGTTTCTGTATTCCGAAAGGTTTGATAATCTTTATTGGCCATGAGTTTAAAACAGTCAAGTCCTTCCCCTCAAGCTACCGTGAAAAGTGATTAGACAAAATGAACTATAGACAAGCACTGCTCTGTTTATTAAAACAAACCATCTATAATCACATAATGCAATCTCAAAACACATGAAGCACCTACAACGTGAACCTTAATATGTACTGATCTTTAATGTGAAACTTTATGCAATTTCAGTACAAGCACCCCTTTACGACTTAGCAAAAGTCAATCCGCAATGTTATTTAAAACAATAGTATCTCAAAAGAGACCATAAACTCACACGCATAAACAAAATTGCATAATAAGTTTAAACAGCTAAATAGTCAAAATGGTAGAACTTAATATATATAAAACTGTCAACCAAATTAACAACCATAAATGCAAATCCCTCAATCCAGAAAAATAGTAAAAATAAACAAACTAGTAAAATATCATAATGAGAACAAGACTCCCACTAGATTGCAGCATCAAAATTAGGAAATAATCCCATGCTCTCAACATGTCTCAGAAAAGCTTCTGAAGGCAAAAACTTTGTGAATGGATTTGCAATCATATCTTGAGTTCTGATATGATCAAACTTGACTAGTTTGTCCACCACCTTCTCCCTCACTATTAAATATTTTTTTGTCAATATGCTGAAGTCCAGACGACATCTTGTTGTTCATGCAGTGAAAAACAGCCACAGTGTTGTCATTATATATATGTATTGGTCTAGAGATCAAATCCACCACCTTAATGTCTTTAATAAAATTCATTAGCCATACTGCATGAGAAGTGGCTTCATAGCAAGCTATGTATTCTGAAAACATGGTTGAACTCGAAACACCAGTTTGTTTAGCACTCTTCTAAGCAACAGCTGCTCCTGCCATCTTGAAAAGAAAACCTGAAGTAGAGATGTAATCATCCTCTGCTTTTCCAAGATTCACATCAGCATAACCAACAAGCTCTAAATTCTCTGTGCGTCTGTAAATCAACATATAAGCCTTTGTTCTCTGTAGGTACCTTAGAATCTTCTTTCCAGCTATCCAATGTTGCATTCCCGGATTTGACTGAAATCTCCCCATCTTGCTAATGCACAATGCTAGGTTTGGCCTTGTACACACTTGTGTATACATAATGCTTCCAACTAGAGAAGCGTATGGCTTGTTCCTCCTCTCATCTTCTTCTTCTTTATTCTTAGGGCAATGCTCCTTCATTAAATCTCCTTTAGCTAACGGAACTTTCTGTCCAGAACACATACTCATGTCAAAACGCTTGAGTACCCTCTCAATGTATGTCTTCTGTGATAAGCCCAAGAGGCCTCGAGCTCGGTCTCTCTGAATTTCAATGCCTAATACAAAAGCAGCTTCTCCCAAATCCTTTATCTCAAAATTATTTGAAAGTAGTTCCTTAGTATCCTTCAGTAAATTATGATCATTTGTGGCCAAGAGTATGTCGTCGACATACAGCACTAGAAAAATAAATCGGCTCCCACACTTCTTCAGATAAATGCACTGGTCAGCTATGTTCTCTTCAAAACCATAAGATGAAACAGTTTGTTGAAATTTGAAATACCACCTCCTGCTTGCTTGCTTTAGTCCATAAATTGCCTTACTAAGTTTGCAAACCATATGCTCTTTCCCTCCTTTGCAAACCCTTCAGGTTGCCTCATATAATTTTCTTCTTCGAGTTCACCATTCAGGAAAGCAGTTTTGACATCCATTTGATGCAAAAGTAGGTCATAATGTACCACCAAAGCCATAATAATGCGGAAAGAATCTTTGGTGGAAACTGGAGAAAACGTCTCAGTGTAGTCAATTCCCTACCTTTGGGTAAATCCTTTTGCTACCAATCTAGCCTTAAATCTTTCGATTCTTCCATCTTTATCCTTCTTTGTTTTAAATACCCATTTCGAGCCTACCAATTTCTGGCTCTTGTGAGGTTCAACTAATTCCCATACTCGATTATTCTTCATGCTTTCAAGTTCATTCAACATCGCTTCCCTCCATTTGTCTGCATTCTGACTCTCCATTGCTTCTTTAAAACTTCTTGGATCAGCCTCATCTCCAATGTCAAAATCTACTTCTTGTAAGTACACATAATCTGAATTTGCTGTGGATCTTCTTGGTCTATCAGATCTTCTCGGTTGTACTGGTTCTTGTGGATTATCTAACTTAGGATTCTTGACAGCTTGTTCTTGTGGTTCAACTGGTTCTTCAAACTGAGGATTTTCCAAAACAGTTTCACTTAAAGGAATCAAAGGTGTAATATCTGGTTCAGCATTCTCAATCACAGCTACATCACCTTCTTCTTCAAAAATAAAATCTTTATTCCCAGTGGCATTCTCCTCATGCTCTATAAACTTTGCACAACCAGTCTCAACAATTCGGGTACCATAATTTGGGCAATAAAATCTAAAACACTTTGACCTTGCGGGATAACCTATAAAATGGCAGCTAATCGTTTTAAGATCAAGCTTCTTCTCTTGAGGGTTATAGATTCTAACTTCAGCCTTGCAACCCCATACATGAAGATGTCTCAGGCTAGGCTTTCTGGTGGTCCAAATTTCGAAAGGTGTCTTAGGCACAGACTTGCTGGGCACTTTATTAAGTATGTAGTTTGCTGTTTTGATCGCTTCTCCCCATAGACTATTAGGCAAATCAGTTTTCGAAATCATGCTGTGAACCATATCCTTCAAGGTTCGATTTCTTCTCTCAGCTACACCATTCTGTTGCAGAGTTCCGGGCGTTGTGTACTGAGCAACTATTCCATTATCTGGTAAATACCTTGCAAAAGGTCCAGCACGTCGTCCTCCTTCATCAAAACGTCCATAATATTCACCCCCTCTGTCCGACCTCACAATCTTAATCTTTTTCTCAAGCTGCCTTTCTACTTCAGTTTGGAAAATCTTAAACATTTCAAAAGCTTGAGACTTTTCTGCTATGAGATACAGATAACCAAAACGAGAATGGTCATCTATAAAAGTGATGAAATAACGATTTCCATCAATTGTTTGATGAGGGAACGGTCCACAAATATCTGTGTGGATGATTTCTAAGAGGTCATTACTACGAGTTGCACCTTTCTTCTTAGTCTTAGTGAGCTTTCCTTTAACACATTCAATGCAAATTTCGTCATCACTAAAAGTCAGTGATGGCAAGATTTGTTCCTTAACAAGAATTTTCATTCTTTCTTTTGAAATGTGCCCTAAACGTCTATGCCATAACCTAGTGGATATTCCTTCACTTCTATTCTTTTCTCACTCGATTTAGCTATTAAAACTTCAACCTCTTTATTGTAATTACGACAATATAATCCTCCTTTATTGTCCTTGAATTCTGAG